CTACTTATGTTGTTTCCGGCGATGGGAATCAGATTCAGCCTTTAACTCCGGTTAATTACGGTCGAGCTAAGAACACTCCAGCTAGGTCATCGAATCCGAGTCCTTGGCCTAGTCCTTTCCCTCACGGATCAGCCAGTCCTCTTCCTTCTGGTGTTTCTCCTTCTCCGGCCAGAACTTCCACTCCGAGGAGGTTTTTCCGACGGCCTTTCCCGCCGCCATCTCCGGCGAAACACATTAAGGCTTCATTGATCAAACGGCTTGGAGTGAAGCCTAAGGAAGGTCCGATCCCTGAGGAGAGAGGTACTGAGCCGGAACAGTCGCTTGATAAGAGCTTTGGTTATGGCAAGAACTTTGGGGCTAAGTATGAATTGGGGAAAGAAGTGGGTCGAGGGCATTTCGGTCATACTTGTTCTGGTCGTGGGAAGAAGGGAGATATTAAGGATCATCCTATTGCTGTCAAGATCATCTCCAAGGCTAAGGTTTTAAATTCTCAATCTTGATCATCTTGTTTTGATTTTAGGATTGTGGCATTGGTGTTATGTTAGGGTTTGTTATGAGAATTTGAGTAGAATTTTAGCTTTTTATGTGATTTGCTTATTGCTGAAACTGCTACAAGAATCTATGGAGGGTTTTGAAATGTGCAATTAGTAATGCTTACATTTTCTCATAATATTGAGGTAGTGAAAGTAGGATTCTTGGGTTTGGATAATGGCTGTGGGACAGTGAATTGTCTTTTTCTTCCAGCTGAGTCTCTCTGAGAGAAACAGTGTTGTCTCTTTTAATAGGTAAATCTTTTGTCTGGCAGTGACTTGAGAAGACAAAAATGTGATCTTTTTGTTGATTTGTCAGCATTAGGACAGGATAGCCGAGTTTAATGTACTAATGTTTTATGAGCTTGTCTTCTCCAATCGTTTGTTTGTTCTAGTAGTGAAGCTTGTAGTCACAGTTAGGTTACATTTTGTTTACTTAGTTGTTGAGAATGTTATGATCTTACATGTGTTACTTGTTGTCTGTTGCATCTTTAGAAAAAAGATGATTGATGAAAAACGTTGATAGAGAAGTCTTTTGTCTGGCTGCGTGATGGGGAGACCATAATCTGACATTCCTTTTGTCTGCATTAGGACATAATGTTTTAAGTATGGGCTTCACTTTCGAATGCTCATGATTTTGTCTCTTCACCTGTTTGCTTATCTTTGTAATGAAGCTCGTCTGACACATTTAGGTGACAGTTGTGCCATCCTTCTCATCAATAAAACAAGCAAAAATGATTTGTTGACTGAATTATCTTTCTTTGCTTTGCAGATGACAACAGCGATTGCAATTGAAGATGTTCGCAGGGAGGTGAAGTTACTGAAATCATTATCTGGACACAAACATCTAATCAGATATTATGATGCATGTGAGGACGCCAATAACGTATACATAGTCATGGAGTATGTCTTGTTTCCTATTTTTATCAGATATTTGATGTTATCGCTTCCTCAGGATTTTAGCTGTTACTTATATGTTGTAACACAGAACATCACTACAAGTTTCTGAACTACATTTCTTTGAACAAATCTTTGTAGTCAGACACACCCTGTAACCAGTTACTAAATCGATGTTTGGTTCTGCTTGACCAGGTTGTGTGAGGGTGGAGAACTTTTGGACAGAATTTTAGCAAGGTATGTCTGATTCCTCCTAGGTTTCTCTCTGCCTATGACCCAAGTTGATTGCTGAGAATTTATTCATATCTAAAACCTTGCATTCTCTTGTCTCAGGGGTGGTAAATACCCGGAAGATGACGCTAAGGCGATTGTCGTACAAATTCTAACTGTTGTTTCATTTTGTCATCTCCAAGGAGTTGTGCACCGGGACTTAAAGCCAGAGGTCTGTTTTTAAAAAAACCACTTTCCTTATCTCTACCTCCAGTAGCAATACACATAATTACTAAACACCCCTATCACCTTGTTCAACAGAATTTTCTATTTACTTCTAGCCGCGAAGACTCAGACTTGAAGCTTATTGATTTTGGTCTCTCGGACTTTATTAGACCTGGTAAGATTTGTCATACTTCAGACCTTCTCACTATACTTTCCTTATGGCTGCATAATAGTGAAATTTGATTGAATTCCTCAACACAGATGAAAGGCTGAATGATATTGTTGGAAGTGCGTATTATGTCGCGCCTGAAGTTCTACACAGATCATATAGCTTTGAGGCTGATATATGGAGTATTGGAGTTATTACATATATACTCTTATGTGGAAGCCGACCTTTTTGGGCACGGACAGAATCTGGAATCTTTCGTACTGTGCTAAGAACTGAACCAAACTATGATGACATACCTTGGCCTTCTTGTTCATCAGAAGGGAAAGAGTTTGTGAAACGACTTCTCAACAAAGACTATAGAAAACGAATGTCGGCAGTTCAAGCTTTGAGTGAGTTTTTTTTTTCTTTTTTGACACATCATTGAAATTAGCTGCAACTAGGGAGTTATATTATTGTGAACATTACAGAACTGATGAACTGATGATATGTTTTATCTCTTATTTTCAGCTCATCCGTGGTTACGGGATGATAGTCGTGTGATTCCTTTAGACATTCTGATCTATAAGTTGGTCAAAGCCTACTTGCATGCGACACCTCTTAGACGGGCTGCTTTAAAGGTATGGCCTTCTTCTTTTTTTGGCACAAAGTTGGAGGGTTCCCAAAGTATAAATATATATTCACAAAGTTGGTAAGAGTTGATTTAGAAGATTGAAGCATATATTTAATAATTGAATCTAGGCACTAGCGAAAGCATTGACCGAGAATGAGCTAGTCTATCTTAGAGCGCAGTTCTTGCTTTTGGGACCAAACAAAGATGGAAGCGTCTCCCTCGAAAACTTCAAGATGGTAAGGCCTTTGGTCAATAGTCACATCGGATTTCTTGGATTTTTTTAACTAAAAAGGTTTAATAAGCTCCAACCTCGCAGGCGCTTATGCAAAATGCAACAGACGCAATGAGAGAATCAAGAGTTCCTGAAATACTTCACACTGTGAGAACCTGAGAACAAATTTTAAAGAAAAATGAATCAATTTTTTGGTTTCTAATGATCATCTGTTTTGGCAGATGGAATCTCTAGCTTATAGGAAGATGTATTTCGAAGAGTTTTGTGCAGCAGCAATTAGTATTCATCAACTAGAAGCTGGTGACGCGTGGGAAGAGATTGCAACCGTCGGTTTCCAGCATTTTGAAACCGAGGGAAACCGAGTAATCACAATCGAAGAACTAGCAAGGGTATGGTGTCAATTATAATCCTCTCGATTCATAGAACCGGTTTTCGTTTCGGAAATTGAATTTGACTGGTAATTGAACAGGAACTGAATGTGGGTGCGTCTGCGTATGGACACTTGAGAGAATGGGTAAGAAGCAGTGACGGGAAGCTGAGTTACTTAGGGTTCACCAAGTTCTTGCACGGAGTTACTCTTCGTGCTGCTCACGCAAGACCTCGCTAGTCCTTCTTCTCTATTTTTTAGGTCTTTTTCAATATGATTTTTCTTCATCAGAACAGAGTTGATAGACTTTCTGAGAGACGTGAGGGGTATTTTCGTCCGTTTGTTTTTTTCTTTATCCATATTATTATAGAGTTTCAATTCTATGGTACAGAAAAGACCAAAATGAAAAGAAGATAAAAAAATGTGCATAAGGTAGATGGATTTCAGTCAGTTTTTGCAAGTATGATATATGAGCATCTATGGTCTCAAGTAGCAATATTCATTTGGAAAGATATCTTATGTTAATTGTTTTCTAACGTTTGCATTTTTTTCTCTAAGCAAATCACTTCATCATCTCCATTACATCAAGTCTCCATTATAGAATATCATACCAAAAAACCTTAAAGAGTTCTTTCTAGCACCTAAACAAACGATTTTCAAGGCCAACTACTAATTCTACATAAGGCTACGTTGAAGTGTTAAAACATAAAAGCTAAAGATAATAAAGTTACGCTGTCCTAATCAACAAATTAAAAAATGAAATGAAAAGTGATAAAACAACAATTAGTGATAACCCAAAAAAAAGCTAAGCCTTTCCTTTTCTCTATTGGTGCCGACAATCGAATCATAACCATTTATTACAAATCATGATAGTGAGATGAGTGGGTTCGATCGTACCCATTAGTCTACGGAAAACAGGGAATCTACATAGTCTATACTATATATATATTGCCTAACTCATTATATTTTCCGTTTTTCTAAATTAATTGTTGTGTGTGTTTCTTTTGTTTCACAAGTATAGATGTTTTAATTTAGATAGTTTAGTTAATACTATAAATGAGACGAGATGTAGTACTGCCCATAATTTTTTGTAGAATGTTAAGATATAGTACTAGTAGTTTTTTAAATATATACAAAGATATAGTTAAACATATTAACATCTTCTTGGTATCATCCTTTTGTGATTGGTGAAATAGGATCTTTGGAATTAACGCATAGAGTTAAAGACTCTGAGGGTGGTGCATGAGAAACCTGCTAACATTGGAAGATGCATTGCTATTTACTTCGATGTGTATGTATTCTCTCTATTGATTAAAATACAATAGTACTAGTCAAATGAAAAAGAACAAAAGTGAAATGCTTCACAGGACCAGCCGTTACAATGGAAGGTAAAAGGAAACAAAATAATTTCAGAGAATCTCTCCTTTATTTTCCTTTTTTCTATATTTAAGATAAAATAAAATTTATTCACAGCATTATTTCCTATATATACACCACATTTATGCTTTATTTTCCATCATTCCCAATAAAATACCAAAATATCACAAATTTTCTGTTTGTGAATTGAAGCTATTTTGTGATATTTTAGAGTATTTCTTATGAATTTTTCCTAAATGGAATATCTTTTTTCAATTTGATACGTGTCTAACAGTTGCAAATTTCCAAAAAATGTGTCATCTTCTTCATTTCTTTGTGATCATCGTCGTCATGTTTATCTACAATCATTCAAAAATGGCCTAAAGCAATAAAAGAAAAAGAAAAAAGCATCAGAAACAACAACTCTTTTAAATCTTGAAATTCCATAAAAACTACAGAAAATGATACTACAAATCGATAAAATTTAGAAGATTCACTTCTTTTGTGGGTTAGGCCAGTTTTGGCTCCACAACTCCACAAGATTAAACCATAAAAACATTAAAATTTGAACACATACAATCACTACTCATCATTTTCATCATCATTCATCAAGCTCTGAAGCATCCAACAAGATGATGATACTGGTCACGGCCACCATGTCTATGATGATTGTTGTTACCATTATAAACCGATCTCTCTCCATCAATCAAAGCTTGAACGTAACGAAACTCCTCCACGTGACAAGGAATTGTGATGGTGCCCTTTTGATCGAATCCATACTCGTCTTCTGCTTCTTTCAGGAGCTGCATGAACAATGGATGGTTAAAATACAAAACAGGAACAATAAATCTATGTTGCTCTTCTCCTTGTGATCCCACTTTGATCGCTAAACACCCTTTTGGAACATCTTTGACTTTGACTGATTGTTTGCGATGTAACTGGAAGCTCTTCAGGGTTTTTTCTCCGGTACCCATGATTTTTGAAAACGTTTTTAAGAAAAAGTTGAAGAAACCAAGAAAGACCAAGAAGAAAATAAGATTCTAGCTTTCTTGTGTTTTTTTGCTTGTTTTCTCGAGGAAATTTAGGCTAGAAAGCAGGCCATGGGTCTTCAAGTGTAAGAGATGTGAGTTCGAGAGAGCTAATGAAGTTGTTCATTTTTTTTTTTTTTTTGTGTGGAGGTCAGATGAATGAATGAAATAAAAGAGTGATGTTTGTTTATAAAGAGAAGACACACTAGTATTTAAAAAAAAAAAAAAAAAAGCTCTTCATAAAGAGATGAGACGCTCCTATTTTCTTATTCAACTTCTCATGATAAATACAATGGTGGTATTAAAAATATTCCTATTTGGTTGTCATTTGCTTTATAAAAATCTAATACAAATGGGTATTTTTAAGAAGTTTATAACTAGCAATAATTATGATTTGACCAAACAATATAGCAATAAAAAAAGAACAATTCTTGGGTTCACCCCTAGGGGTGAACACAATTCATTCACCCATTTTGTAAAACCAATCAAAATTTGCCATGTCATCTAGTTAAAAAATAAAACAAGTAATATTTTCTAAATAAAATAATTAAATTAAATCATTAAAAACCCAAAACTAAATGAATTATAGGGTTCACTAATATCTCCTTCACGTATATCTCTTTCTTTAATTAGCTTCCTTCATCATTTTTTTTTTAAATATTGTCTTTCTTCTTTTGTAGTAGAAAAACTACAAAACAAAATTAACCAAAATGAAGTTTCGGCACTTCCATATTTTTTCCGCCTTTGTATTCAAAATGATCGAGTTTTATAATACATCTCCATAACTTTTAGCAACTTCTTACAAAATATAAGATTTCAAATCGTGAAAAATTTGATCGAAAATCAAATATAAATAGTAAGATACTAAGATTGAATTATTTACCTGTAGGTTGTAGCACTTGTGAAGAAAATAGTTCCGTCTGTAAAATCGGATTGCTGGTAGCTACATATAATTGGATATCAGAAGCAAAAGTTGAATCCTGAAGCATTTATCGATTTTATCTTATAATTAATATACATATATATATACTGACGAAGTCACCAACAAGAAAAAAATCGATACTTGAAAATTAAGTTAACAAAAAATAGAATACAAATAAAACTATACCAAACAAAAAGCAGAAAAAGTCACGTACGAACATGTATATAAAAGACAAACAATTTCTCACTTCTATGATATTCTACAAAATCTCATTTCTATGAACTTAGTAAACGAAAAAAATCTTTAATTGACTAATTTTCAAACTAAGAAATTTTGATGTACATAGAAATAAGTATTTAGACTTACGTTCAACTTGTGTGGAAACAATAATATTTTTCCTCATAAAACTAATCACTTTTTGATTATATGTGAGAAAAAAAAGAGAAAAAAATATGAATATAGTTAGAGTTAATGACTTAAAAATTCAGATTTAGGGTTAAGTATTGTTTTTTTCTTTTTGGATTGAGAGAGAGAGACGTGAAGGACATTAGTGGGTCTTACAAGTAATTTAGTTTTGGGTTTTTAATGATTTAGATTAATTATTTTATTTAGATAACATTAGTTATTATTTTTATTTTTAATTACATGACATGGCAAATTTTGATTGGTTTTTAAAGAGGGGGTGAATGAAATGTGTTCACCCCTAGGAGTGAACCCAAGAATTGTTCAAAAAAAAAAAAAAAATTCAACAATAATTAACTAAAATATTTTAAGAGAAACTCTATGATCGAGTGGCACTTTTTATATTACAAAATATATAAAATAAGACATTATACTAAAGAATATGAAGCGTAGAAATTTTAAAATATCTGTAATATATATATTCTAATTAGTACTTTGTTTCACTATGTTTCATATTAAAAATAATTATTAACATTATTCTATCATTAAGAGAACTAAATTTTTTTTTGTTAATTTATAACATAGTTGTCCTTGTAAGATTTTCCTGTGAAGTAAAAGATAATCATAAAATTTGTTAATTACGCGTCAACATAGTTTTAAGAAAGTTTTTTTTTTTTCCTTATCTTTAAGAAAGTTAATGTGGTTAACAAAAAAAGAAAGTTAATGTGGTCAGCAACTGAGAATCAATGAGTAATGACGACTAACAGTTAACAATGGGTTGGTGACTTAAGAAAAAAGGTTTGAATTTTAATTAAGCGTTAAACCGAGTAAATTAGTCAAATTAGTCGACATATTACTGTTTTACCTAAAACCTAAGACTAAGAGCATCATGTAGTGGCGAAAAATATATCATCATTTAAGAACGTTAAAAGCGTGATCAAAGTATGCAAATGAAATTCAAAACTGACTATTCTCATATATTCAGAAGAAAAAAAGGAAAAAAAAATTTGGGTGGATTCAGTTTAACTATTCATCTTATAAAAAAAAAATGTTTGATAGTCGGAAATTTTCATACATCTAAACATAGGAGCCGTCATAAGGAATCTAAAATGACAAAGAGAAATGTTGATCTCTCGACTACTTTCGTTTTATTAACTATAGTTAGCAATTATTTATATATTATTAATGGAACGGCTTAGAGCATCTCTAATCCACCTCTATATTTGTCTCTAAATTCTATTTTAGAGGCAAATTTACTCCAACCCACCTCTATTTTCATCTCTAAAATAGAGATCTCTATTTTTTTCTCTATATATAGAGGTGAGAATAGAGAATCTTTATTTTTTCCTCTATAAATAGAGTTAAACTTTTTAAAGAAAAAAATAGAAGAATATATTGGAGTAAAAATAGAGAAAATTTACCTCTATTATAGAGATAGAGATAAAAATGGGAAAATACATTGGAGATGGTCTTAGGAATTTTTAGTTATAAAGAAGCAGAATCAATGTTGTCACATGATGAAGATTGGAGGTGATGATGTATCTAGTGATTTTTTTTATCATTTAAACATCGCTTGATATATGCAATATCTATGAACAAGAACAAAATTCGGAGAAAGAATATGCCCGATGGTACCACAGCTATGAATTCGTACAAATACAATAATCATATCTTAACAAATAAATGGTTATCAATTTCCTGACGAGTTGAATAAAAAACGAGGCCGTCCAAGTTGGTGGTAGTGACATGGTAGCGAATACTTATTATGTACATATATAGAAAGGAAAATTATATTAATTTTTAAAAGTTAAAAAGAAAAGTTCACATGTCACTCTATCAGTATCTAGAACCAGATAATTTAAATTAAAATGAATATGTTAGATCCGTTTTTCAATTTTAATAAAAGAGAAGAAGAAAATGAAAGTTGATCATCTATATAGGATAAGATAAAGCAGTGCACACTAACAATAATCACTTTGTGTGAAAAATGAGAACGATATTCAAAAATTGTCAACTTTGTGGGACGGTGTGGGTACCTTGGATTATACTATTTATATTTCCCCTATTCATATTATTATTTCTTACTAAAAACTCTATTCGAATGCGCATGCAAAAAGCAGCAGAATAATCTAATTTTCCAAAAATGAGTTTCTATAAATCGTATAATGGATGGTACAGTCTTCATCATTTCAATTCGAAATTAATTAACATGATATTATATTACAACCTAAATCTACAGGATACAAAAGAGAGAAAAACTTGATATTACAGGAACAAGATAGACTTTAAAGTAATTTACAAAGGAAATGAGATACGACTAAAGTAAAATTGAAGGAGATAAGCCGAATGCAAGCCCGGTGCTAAGGGGATGGGGATGTGCCTTTAGTAAAGTGGTTAAGTCCATTTGACTTCATCTTCCTTATTGGAATTCGATTTTATTAAGTCGCATTAATTTACTATGGATCGGGTCTAGTCGATCTAAAAATATTAATAAAATGATGTCCGTTTGCGGTTTTACATATAAGTTTCTGTTTTGATTCATGATTTAGTTTCACAGATTTTACAGATAATTTGATTTTTAGTCAATACACAGTATTACCAATCAAAACTATAATTCATGCAATTGTTTTTTTAATTTAGCAAATAATGCATGCCATTAGTCAGTCACCAATTATCAATGGGCCGAATGTGTATTAGTAATAAGTTCGTAGATATAAAACTATGGAAACGATAATGGGCTTCTGTTAATTAAGCGTTATGGCTTAAGTCAAAATGATGACAAGTCTAGGCCCAATTAAAGCCCATGGTCATCAATATATTTTCGACCAAAAAAATACATTGGATGTGCACTACTTGCATGTTACATGTTCCACTGAATAAATGTTATGATTTTTTAAGTCCGAAATAAAACATATGAATAAGTCTGTCTAACCTAAGAAATCCAGACTACAAAAAAAAAGTCTGTCTAACCAGTTTCTTATAAACTCAATTGACATTTATAAAAATGCATTATTTATATAACACTAATAATACTATTATACTATTGAGGATAACCGCCTGCTTGATAGTTGACAATTCGGCATATATTCATATATATAAATGGGATTACACTATTGTGAAACAAAAATTAAATTGACATAAAATCATAGCCGTAGGTTCAGCAGGAAAAGACACTGAAAACCGTAGAAGGCATAAAATGTGGTCAAAGTCTTGGTTAAAAGTACATAGTAAAAAGATAAATCCGATGAGCCATGGAACTTGTGTAATCCGTGAAAACTTTAGGACAACCAAAAAAGCATCACTTTTAGTAAGATTTTTCTTTACGTTTTCAATTTTTTAATAATAATTTATTTTTTCATTTATTGTTTTATTAAAGACGCTTTCTCGGCCACTTTCACCCTAATCTCTTTTCCCATTCAAATATTATCTTATTTTGATTTATCAATTAGTAAAGTGTTTCTCTATTTCGGAATATAGATCAACGCAGAAAAAAAAACGAAACATGAATTTAACAAAGAAAAATCGAAGTATGAAAACTCTATGTATCACCTGAAATTTTATATCATCCCCATTTTGTATACTTTTTAATTGTTGACAATTACTACATATATAGACACATATTTTATGCAACCCTCCCTTGTGGTAGCGAAGTCTGGCTTACTAAATCTGAAACATAAATTTAACAAAGAAAAATCGAAGTATGAAAACTCTATGCGCAATGGTATCACTCTGAAATTTTATATCCTCTCCATTTTGTATTCTTTTTAATTGTTGACAATTATTACATATATAGACACATATTTATTCAACTCTCCGTTGTGGTAGCGAAGTCTGGCTTACTAAATATCTGGCATCTGGTTCATCGTACAATAAGAGGATAAGATTTCAAGAATAACTCTGGATTAAAGATTTTCATTAAACAAGTGAAAGCAGGTGTAAGATTCATAGTAAATGAATTATCAACTCCACGAGCATATGATATATAATAAACGATAGAAATGATGTATTAGCAATCAAGTGATAACAATCAAGTATAATCCGAGACTAAATGATCTAAATGGTTACATTATACAATGCGAATAATTTAAAATTAAAGGAGAAAGAGGTCCAAATTTAAGCTCTTGATGATCTTCCCATGCAAAGACTGCAGAAACTGTCCTTACATGTAAGAGTAGAAGTACAATATCGTACTAACTCACATGCATATATAGCTTCTTAATTTTCAGAAATCATAATTATAAGAATCCTGAAAACCCTAGTTTGTGTCATAGATAGTTCAAGATTCAAAAATAGATATACTCTGCTAAGAAACAAGTAGATCTGAAAATAAACTATCATCGTCATCATCATTCATGACTATGAAGATCCAACCTTATATAACTTAAATTCTTCCTGACAAAAAGAAACAATCATAGCAAAATCATAGCAATGTAGAAAAGTTCAAAAATACAAACACATGTAGGAAAAGGTTGTAATGATGAAACTTTTCAGATTCCAAGAAGAGAAAGAAAGTCAGATTCTTTCATCATTACACCAATCTGCAAATACTTGAAAACATTTTTTTTTCTACCGGTCCCCAAAGACCAATTTTTTTTTTTTAAAAAAGTAATTTCTTTCCATGCAAACAATCAATAACGCATGTAAGTGAATCCGAGAAAGTAAGGTAAAGATCAAACCTTTAACATGGGTTCATTCACGGGATCTGAAACCCTAAATTGAGAAGAAGGAAGAAATCGGGAGCAACAATTGGGGGGAATGAAGCCTGGTCCGACGACGCTAAAACCCTAGTCAGATCTGAAATCTGGAGGTTCAATTCGATTATTAGATCGAAAAAGATCCAACATGAATAGAGCGAGCCAGAGTCCTCGAGCCAGACAACATTCCCCTCAAAAGAGAAAACCCCTTTTCCTTTTGACTCGAGATTATAGAATCTAGGGTTTCTGAATATACATATATCTTTATATCTCTCTCTCTCTCTCTGTGTTCGTCCCCCACGAGACCCGGCTAATATCAAGGGAGAAGCAGAGAGAGAGAGATGGAGAAGAAGATAATTGAGTGGTGATGATGGAAGAGAGAATGAGAGAAATAAAAAGGGGGTTTTATGAAGAAATTGAGTAGTGGAGAGAGCCAAAGAAAGCTATACAAGACAAGAAACATGGGTGTCTCTGGTCCCACACGCTCTCTCTCTCTCTCTCCAACAATACATATGTACGTGTGTGTGTGTGTGGCTTTTGATCAAGTTTCAAGATCTCGCAGTAAAAACATTGGGTTTACTTTTTGAGACATGTCACTGGATTCCCATTTACTATGTTATTACTTGTTCAAGCAAAAATAAAATCTAAGTTCCCATCACCTCTACTAATTCTATATTGAGCCTATTTCTAACGTTCTTTATCTACTTTATTACGTAATACTATTATAGTTTAGAAAATTAAATGGCTGAAGTTTATAGTTTGGTGATTTGTTTTACGTAATATTATAGTTTAACAACGTTCTCAATATATTCTGGGTCGGTTCATCACTAGCAGCCAAATTTTTTAGGCGGATTATATACAAAACCACACTTTATTCATGCCTATATATATATATGCCTAAATTTGTTGTTATGGTTTTAAATTGTGTTAGACCATCTCCAATGTATTTTCCTATTTTTAGCTCTATTTCTATAATAGAGATAAGTTTTCTCTATTTTTACTCCAATGTGTTCCTCTATTTTTTTCTCTAAAAAGTTTAACTCTATTTATAGAGGAAAAAATAGAGATTCTCTATTCTCACCTCTATATATAGAGAAAAAAATAGAGATCTCTATTTTAGAGGTGAGAATAGAGGTGGGTTGGAGCAAATTTGCCTCTGAAATAGAGTTTAAAGGCAAATATAGAGGTGGGTTGGAGATGCTCTCAGCGCAACAAACGTTACATCAATGACAAAATATACGGAATACATGCGGTTTAATTAGTCGGATCAAAAATTGAAAAAGTGATCATAATAATAATCACTGATTTAAATTGAAAAAGATAATTTGCAATTTAATATAGACGAGTGTAATTTTCTATCAATTTTAAGTTATTACAACCACTGTTTACAGCCACAAATTCCTAGTATCTCTTTGCAAAAAAGTTCAATCGGCAACACTATAAATTGAATTCCACAAATTATACGACTAGCTATTACCCAAACAAATTGTTGTTTCAGACCCAAGAACATATAATAATGAAAAGAAATTGAAGGAACCGCGTAAGAACGTCCGGTGAAAGAGAAATGAACAAGTAGGAAAGTACAAAGACTACGAATCACAAAGTATAAATTACTATAAGAATTCGAGAAATTAGAAACATAAATCTGAGAAAATTGGAAAGGGAATCAAAAAGGGAAAGAGGAGTGACTATAAAAGTTAGTCAGAGGAGTGGTTGAGTTATTGATCTGCCCAATATTAGCATTCTTCATTTATTGTCTCTCACCTTTATTTTCTTGTTTTTTTTTTCTTTAGTTTTAAATTTTAATCTTAATTTTGCTTCACCGTAAGTTTCAAGTCGTTGAGGTTGGTGAAAATGGTCCATGGGGTGGCTAAAACTTTAAATTGTTGGCCCATTTCCCTCGGCGACTCTTTTTATTGTGGTTTAAGTCAAAGTCTCCACCTTTTCATACCCTTTTCTCATGAAAGAAATATTTGGTTTTACTTTATTTTATTTATAGTTTCCTACTTTCGTGTAACCTTCAAATTTTACCGAGTGAAGGGTTTGAGTTTTGCTTGTTTGTGCTTGCTTTAAGGAGATATTGACTACTTTGTTAGAGCATTTCCATCAGTTTTTTTTTCTTTTTTTTGACGGCCCATCAGTTAAAAACTCAATTGAATGTCTGAGAAATAAAATAATATTAATTTTTCATTATTTAATTACTTTTTATTTATAAGAACCAATCAACATGAAACAGCTGTAGAAATAAATATCTCATATTTTCTCAAACCAGACACGTTTCTTTTCTCTTTCCTCTTTTTCTATTTCTAGGAAGTTTCTCACCTAAACATCCTCTATGGAACTGCTCTTAATTTGTAGTACATATTTTTACAGAATCATATAATTTATGGTAAATTCTTTATTATTTGACTTGGGTTTTTAATTTCTTAGGTTTTGTTTTTCTAAAAAATGGGGTTTTATTTTGATCTCTTTTTTAAAAAATCCAAGAAGAAAGAAAACTGTGACAAGCATGTAACGGAGATGAAGTCATCATGTGTTTTATAACGGTAAACGTTTTGGTCAACGAGGAAAAAATAAAAGCAATTATGAAATCAATCTAGTAATTAATACTCTTATTTTTCGAGATTTAGTGAGAGAGTTAAGCTGTCTGTGCATTGTTTTCACGCAAACATGTCACTTTAAGGAAACTGGCAGTTATAATTGTTCTCTCTTACGCAATAGTTAAGCTCAGGTATTTACTTTTTGTGTAATCTTTTTTCTTTGCTCTTTTTTTTCTGTAATCAGAAGTCAGAAAAATGTTTTTCTACTAAATTATGTTTACAGTCAAACGATTATATATTTAGTGTATAATATATAGTAATTCTCGAATATTGGACGGGATTTTACTGTCTCCTGAGTAAGTGAGTATTATGTCAAAAATACGTGCATTGTAAATGAAAATTTTATACGCTAGAAAACGGGGAAGAAAAAGGAATCACTTTTCTATGACTCGCTTTTGAAATAAAGTTATGTCCTTTAAGTCAACTAATTACCAACTTTTGTTTGTGTATTTTTATTGCTTTAATAATTCTCATTTTAAAATAAGCTAATCACTCAGCCAGCTGGAAATACGACTAGTTAATGGAGAAATGTATAAGTAAGAAACCCTAATCAGATTACCAAAACAATAGAATCTTATTTAGTGTATGGAAATATGTATATGGAACGTTGTGGTGCATTCACATTTTGATATGTCGTTGTCTTATTAATATTTAGAAATGAAATATGGTACATCACCACATTATAAAAGACAGACAATAAATTTAAAAAAAAAAACATAGATATGTCTCATTTTCAAAATGATTCCAGAATTAAAAGCTAGAGAGAGTGCCCGCGACAAGTGCTGCAACAATTTGTTTAGGTTGCTAGAGTCCAAGAAAACTAATGAATTTTTTTTCCACGTAGATAAGAAATAAGGAGAAACTGTGGATGAGAATGACAAATGGAGAAGACGATTCTGGCTCCAGATTTCAACGTTTTTGACAGTCTTCGAGAGTTGTGTTTTGTGTTGTGTCCGAGAGAGAGAGACGACGTAAATGTCAAATCCCTGCATATCCGAACCCACGTTGTCCATTCTTACATTCCTCTAAGAAACAAAAAATGCCTTAAAAATCTAATTAACCTTTGATCGGTTAATTCACATTTATATTCTGTTGTTATCTTTAATTTTATTCTAAAAGGAATAAATGTTTATTTCTCCACATAGACCGGTCAACCAAGAGAAACAAAAAACCCACTTTTCTAGTCCACTCTATTCAATTTTTACTTGTAGTTAATGAAAACCTCTTAAAAGTTTGCAGGTTTTCAGAAATTAATATTTTTAAAACATGAAATCAGTTCTTCTTTTTATATAGCTTCAAACATACGTACCTGACTTTCGTAGTTAATTTTGGAATATGCAAATTTACTTTTTTATTTACAATCCACAAAAAAAAAATTCGATAGATAATTCAGTTTGCATGCTCTTAATAAACTTTCAATGAGATTATGTAATCCCATAAGTCATTAACTAAGCAATAGACGAACTTTTGCTTGACATGTAGTCATGTACTGATGGACCGACCGTTTCTATGTATTCAAGGGCTAAACACCAAACTTAATTTTGACAATTAATTGTTAAAGAAAAACTGTAATAAAGCAATTAGAATTTTTGAATAATTAAGAACTAGAGGAGGAGCGAGGGTAGCATTGAAATTAGGGAAAAAGAGAGGACAATAGCATTTAATGCCTCTTTGTTCGTATTCTCTGCCCATTCAATTTCTCAATTCAGATCCCAAATTTCCACTATCCTACTCCTCTCTCTCTCTCTCAAAAAAAAAAAAAAAAAACTACTCCACTAGTTTCTAACGTAACAGTTTTTTACAGTTTTTTTTTTCCTACTATATTAGGTGGGTATTGGGTAATGGTGAAAAGACTACAAACGAAAAAAATTCAATATAAATTTGAATCGTATCCTTATGAAAATGTACACAACGAAAAAAACAAAATTTTCAAAGAAAATATGTATTATGTGAAAAGTGCGGATCTCAAGGTAATGAACATAAAGACTCTTTCTCGAATGTCTATTGATGAGACCCTTACTTGTCAAAAACTTTTATTCACTGTATTTTTAACCATTTCTTCGATATATCTCCATCACTCTTTTTTTTACCCCCCTCTCAATCTATCCACACGACACTTACATATATCATAATGCGTGTAAGTATACGTTTGTTCTTACCTATATGCATACAATACCAAACAAGTTATAGGATTTTGTCTACTCGATTAGTGGTGTTATTCAAAACGCATAATACAAAAAATTATATGATGTCATGAGTTTACTGGTATCAAAAAGTAAGAAAATCTCGTTCGCAATACAAAAAAAATATCTGCTTCAGCTTCAGCCACTGTAATAGCTTGCTTCTCGGGTGGCTCGCACCCCGGGGATTACGTGATGTAAGTTCGATAATTACATCGTATTATTGGTTCCAATCATATATTATAGATTCGCACTAAACCTATATTTCAATCAGAACATACTATGGATTAATATTGTTGGTAAAGGTGGCTCACAAATTCACAACGCATCATATATCCCCGAGGTAGCGTGGGCTATATAGTCCAATGGGCATTTCCTTTAATTTTGTTATTCTGACAAGGGATAATGGGCCAAACATCTTTTTTTTTCCTATGGGCCAAACATCTATTATGGGCCTTTTAAACAAGAAAGATTCAATGCTTGTTTTTTCCTCGCTTTGCTTTTGTTTTGTTAGTCAATTTATAAGAGAAAAAGGTATGTATGTATATATGAAAAATAACACATAACACGTGTCATCAAAAACAAGAAAGATAACACAACACATTTGAAGGTGATAAGGATTTTTGGGGGTGGAAGCTAACACTGAGAGTTGTATAAGGTTAAATAAAATGAAATGAGGGATATATTATAATTTTAAAACCAAAATTGGTTTCGGTGGTGGAAATAGATCGAAACCTAAAGCAAAAGAACAGAGTAACATGACTAAGGTCTTTGGTCCGACAAGGTCAGCAATGAGAACCGTCTCACGCCTAATCTTTGGTTTCGCCTTGACTTGGTATTGTCAGTTTCCGTGACTAACACAATCAACATTATTTATAGCTTATTAGTATAATTAATAATTTAGATAATTATGACAACATAAGCAATTGAGTATATCTTTCATGTACAATGAACGTACTTGTACTTCCACATACTGTAGACATTTTTTACACGTAGAAAGGGAAACAAAAGAAAGTATGACTTGTTTCAAAAAAAAAAAAAAGTATGACAAAATTCTAATACGGATAAAGTTCAGGTCCAATCACTCATTATCTTTATCAATTTTCCCTTCTTTCGTTTTGCTTTCTTCCTATTTTTGTTTCTCTTTTTTTTCACATTTTCAAATTTCCTGTAAACTATTTCAATAGTTGATCTTTCAAATACATTGGATAAAAAGAAAAAAAATTGTTAATGTCTCAAACATGTTTATTCTAAGATAAATGAAACGTGAAAATCGGAGATTCGGTGTATTAAGTAAATAATCTTGTCGTAAAGATGGGTTTGTTTGTTTTGATTACTCGGTAAGAAAAGTCGAGCCGCTTTATTTTCCAACATCGCTTTAACGAGTAGTAGTAGTTAAAGAAGTAGGGTAAGATTGTTGGCCACTTGTGACAATGAATTTACGATTATTATATCCGTTTTGATAATAACATTATAAAACCAATGATGAATTTGACCAAAATTAAAGTACTTAGATATTTCCTCTATTAATTCTATAAAGTTATTATCACGAAAAGATAAGCTTTTTTTAAGACGGTGCTAAATGTCTATTCCCCATTGGCATCTCCTTGGCATCATATATCCACACCATCAGATATTCAGATTACATATTAATTTGATCTAGTAGTTTCTCAAAATAAAAATTTCTCTCTTATTGAAATTTTTTCTAATGTGGATTTAAAATATTATTGTCCATTAATTAGGAAATATGGAATTATATTGTTCTATATCAACAATTCCAGAATTGTTGGAAAAATGTCTTCTTGTGATAGCTATTAGTAGAGTGACCAATTCATGAAAACAAAATTTGTATAGTTTAAATTCATTAAAATTATGTGAGAAATTAATTCCGGGTAAATAACAAAATTGTAAAGGACGAACGGTAATGTTTAAAATACCAATGTACATTTGAAATTTTGTTTTACGGTTACTCAAGAAGATATGTTTGTAATAAGATGTATGCATAAGAAAATACTATTCCATAATTATGCAGGTTGTCCCATAAAAGTTTTTTAATTATAAGATTTCACTTCGATCGAGAATCAGAAGACCTAATACGTAAACAGTTGTGGGAAATGGAAAGATTAATTAACGTTGATGTTGCTTTTTCAGAATACTTAATTTATTTGGTGTTGATAGTTACAATATGTATGATTTCTTTTGACACTATTATTTCTGAAACTGAAGAATATTTTATTTGCTTCACACACTTTACCGTGAGTTTCGTTATTGAACATTTTTTTAGTAGTTTATAGAAAAAATTGAAACATAGTCAGACAAATGTTGTGTGTTCAAAGATAACATGCATAAACACTTCAGAAAATGCATAGCGCGGAATTACAAACAGAAGAAACAGACGACAAACTTATTTGTACCATTTTTTTCTTCTTCCCGTTTTGCATGATTTTTATTGAAGATTTTATCATCAAAACTTAACGTCTGATCAAGTTGCTACTATATTTTGTTGCTCTATAAACATAACGTTTCAAACCAAATTACTATGTTTGATTCTCATGTATATATCATAAATTGATTAGAGGATGTAATAACGATAATAATCTATAAGCAAACTAACTAAATTCATTCTTTAAATAAAATAGATTTTCGTTTGAAATATTGCGATCATATAAAAACGAAGAAAACTTTGTGAACGTGACACCATACTGATGATCTAATATAAGTCCTAACTAATTGTAAATATATCAAAAATTTAATGTCACACGCGGCAAGTCGAGGAGCTTGCAAATACAAACAAGCCAAGCCACCGTTTATTTAGTAATGTATTAAATTAAAAGAAACTTTTTTAAAAGAAATGAAGAATTTGTCTTCTCCTACGGCTCTTATCAGAAATTAAGTTAACCACGACACGTGTGTACTTTTGCTGGACAAAAATATTCAGGCACCACCACAAACCAACTGCCATGTCATCTCGTCTATCAACTTTGATGTCCCAAAGCATTGATCTCTCATATCTCAGATTATAACCACTTGGCTAGTTTTGGATGGCTGATCTTGATATTTTTGATTGCCACTTCTGATAAAGTTCAAATAAGACTTCAGAAATTGAAACTCTTACGTTCAATTTTAGTTGTTACTTTTGGTTTAATTTTAGTTGATACTTGATAGGAAGTATAATTGTGAATTATGTTGTTATTTTACGAAGATCAGATTTAATTATAAAACAATATAAAATGCTAGGGTCTGAAAATATCGTATCTAGAGGGCCCAATTTAATTTTTTTGCTTGTATTAATTAGTCAAAAGAAATTTCCGACAAGCAAGGTGAACGTAAACCTTAAACTAATCAGAAAAGCAAGAATTAAAGTTGCTGTTCACATTAATGCATGCTAATATTGTCGAATTGTTATAGCTATCGTGAAGAAAATAAAGTCTAGGTGATCTGGTTCAAATATGGCTTCCCTGTTGACAAAAATAAAATTTGGTTCTTTTAGGTTTAGGATGAGCATAGCCAGTGGCGGATCTAGGAAATATTTTTACCGGGGGCAAAATATGATATCGATGTTTAAAAATAAAAATAATAATTTATTATTCAATTATTATTATTTATATTTTCAATATTGTTACATTATTATTATTTATATATTTAAATATTTCAGAATAGTAAATATAATAATATTTTATATACCCTTCATAATGGAAATAAACCAATAAAAATGTTACATTAAAAAGACGCTTAATAGATTGATAAATCATAAAAAATAATCTAAAAACAAAATGGAAAGAATATTGATATGGAAGTGCTATGTCTAAGATTAAAAAATATATAAAAATAAATAAATGCTAATATTGGGGAAGAAAATAACAAAAAGAGAAAAAAAATGAAAAACAAAGAATGAAAAAAAAAAAAAGGGAAAGAGGGGCATCGTGGGATTTGACCATGATTTTAGGGGGGGGGGGGCAAGTTACTTCAATTACCATTTGATCTAATAAATCTTTGATAAAATCAATGAAAATATATATTTTTTTATATTTTAATGGGGGCAGCTGCCTCCCTCTTCTTGTGCATAGATCCGCCCCTGAGCATAGCTTCTTTCTAATATTCGGAAACCGTTAGAAAACCAAAAATATTACTAACTCTTTCGTTTCTCTGACTATGAAAAATAAGTAAAAAAATTACTGTAAGAACTTTTGGTTTGAAACATAGCCCTCTTTTTGGTGAAAACAGTATGTGTAGAGGTGAAGTAAAAAAAAGGAGAAAAGGTTAAATCCCTCTATTTGGTGGAATTATACTGTTTATAGGTGAAGTTAAACAAAAAAGAGAGGTTAAATAGGAAGAGTTTCTTAGAAATTACGTTATATATAGACTCTATAAAAAACAATTATATGTCATTTCTATTTTTATTAAATACGATTTTGTTAGGATAAACACAGAAAAATGAAAAATTTAGATTTTTTTCTTCTTCTCAAGAATCATTATATTTGTGATTTATCATATACATATAAGTTCAAATAAGATGCTAATTAGAAACAAATAGTTTACGTGTATTAGTATTGTCAATTTTTTAAAATATCTTGTGTAAGGGTCAACAAATGATCACAACTGAGTTGGCAATTAAAAAGTAATCAAATCGCATGCACGGAAGTTTTACGTGCGGTGAAGGTAAACATGTACTATTATTACTCTTATCTATAAAAATTAGTTTTAGGCTTGGATTCTAAATCTCCGATTAAGAGAAAAATGCGTAAGCAAATAGCTGGAAAGATTGTATCCCACAGTCCACCAAACTATATAGTACTTAATTTAGTAACAATTTTTGGTTTTGAGATTTGTGATGTAATCAATATACATTTTATAATGCAAGTATAATTAAAAGTCACATTCTAAGAACAAATTATGATTTGTGGCATACGTTATACAACAAACACCCGTCCCACATCCTGACTTCTGAACGTTAAATCTGCCGCACACAATCATAAAAGATTATATTACATAATCTGTCGCATATAATGTTTTATATTATATTCACCACAGATGTACTGAAAATAATATACTCACATGGTGATGATATATGCATAGGATTATTAATTTTCCCAATTTTTAGTTTTCATCATAGCAAATCCTATATAAATCAATTTAATTGCTTAGAAATCAGTCCAGAAATGCTAATCGTTTTTATTTATGATCCATTATTGCGATGACAGCATTTGTTAATATGCAGTTATGCACCCACATCATTAAAGACATCAGTACGTAACAGTTGTTCCATTTCCATTTTTACATCAACCAGAATGTTTACTATTCGGTAGTCTGCAGATTTTTTTCCTTTCTAAAGTACTAGTATTTTTTATCATTTAATTTTTTAACACTATTATCATAATATTAAAGTCTAAAATACCAAAAAAGAAAATTTAGATAGGGTTTAGAAAAAGGATGAAATCATTTAGAAAGAGTTTTTTTTTAAAGACGCTTTAATCTTTTCTAAAATAGAATTATTAAATGTATATTTACTTATTAATTAAATAGTGATATTCCTAGAATTTTTTTTACTAGAGAAAAAGCTTTCTAAAAAGATCATAAAAGTAAAAGTAAAAGAAATGAAAAAAGGTGGAAATTATTAATCAGTAGTTAGATGATTAGTTTCAAGTTGAAATGAAACTCGACTTAACAAGTGATAGCGACGACTCTAGAAACAGCCAAAATCCGCCCTATTGCTACCTGTCGACCCACAAATCGTTTAGCTAAAAAATGAATAAAAATTTTACGATAAAGCAGCCCAGAGTTTATATCTTATTATATGCCAAGGACCCCTCCCATAAAAAAATAAAAACAAATCACATTTTTTATGTAACTGTTTAACATAATAATCTCAGCCTCAACACACATATATAGATTAGCCAACATCACACAAACACAGAGATTCCAAAAAATAAATAAAAGAAACATAAATCCTCCGATGAGATGAGACAAGGAGGAGAATATTCTCCGGCGATGATGTCATCAGATCCATTCTTGACCATGAAGAAGATAAAGAAGAGCAATCACAACAAGAACAATCAGAGAAGGTTTAGCGACGAGCAGATCAAGTCACTGGAGATGATGTTCGAGTCTGAGACAAGGCTTGAGCCAAGGAAGAAGGTTCAACTAGCTAGAGAGCTAGGGTTGCAGCCGAGGCAAGTGGCTATATGGTTTCAGAACAAGAGGGCTCGTTGGAAATCGAAGCAGCTCGAGACTGAGTACAACATTCTTAGACAAAACTACGACAACTTAGCTTCTCAGTTTGAGTCCTTAAAGAAAGAAAAACAAGCTTTAGTCTCTGAGGTATGTCCTAAAATCTGTTTATCCTTCCATGGTTAGATACTGCAATTAATGACTTAAAGTTGGTTATATATTAGGTGATTAAAAGAAAAAAAACTCTGTTTTGATGGTTTATTGAAGGAGAAAATAGATTGTTGATGAGTTGTTTTATACGTTTATGCAGTTGCAGAGGCTAAAAGAGGCGATGCAGAAGAAGACTCAGGATGAGGAAAGGCAGTGTTGTAGAGATCAAGCTGTGGTGGCTCTAAGCAGCACAGATCATGAATCAGAAAACGAAGAGAACCGGAGGCGTGAACCGGAAGAGGTTAGACCGGAGATGGAGATGAAAGATGAGAAGGGTCACCATGGGGTTATGTGTGATCATCATAATCATGATGATTATGATGATGATGATGGTTACAATAACAACATCAAGAGAGAGTATTTTGGTGGGTTTGAGGAAGAACCAGATCACTTAATGAACATTGTTGAACCAGCTGATAGTTGTTTGACATCATCTGATGATTGGAGAGGTTTCAAATCAGATACTACTACTCTCTTGGACCAATCCAGCAACAATTACCCTTGGTGGGATTTTTGGTCATGAATGAAATAAAGTAAAAACAAGAAGATGAAACAGATTTAGTCTTTTGCAGACCAAAGATTGGATATATACATATTCAAATCGAAATTTACCTGTATGCATCGCAAGAACCGAGCCACGGATATAGAGGTATTCGGTCCAGCAACTGACTCGTCTGACAGCGAGAATTTTGCAGGAGTTTGAGCTGAAATTGTATGGTTTTGTCTGTATAAATTATGTGTTTAGAAAGTCGTATATTCTCAGTTAAGTCTTTGTAATCCTGTTTTAAGTACTCGTCATGCTTTGTAGCTAATTAGTAGTAAATTTAAGACCAAATTTGGATGGAATAAAAAATAAAAGGTAGGAGAAATCACAATATATATATATATATATATAAATTACAAAGTTATTCACTGATATGTAAAAGAACTACTAAGTTGGGGAAAACATTGATATTAGGATTTAGGAACATGAGAAGAACCCTGAAACCCTGATTGACAAAAAAAAGAAGAAGAAGAACCCTGAAACCCAAGTTAACAGAGTCAATTCGCAAATTAGATATGTCTTTCTATCCAAATTCGCTATTAGTTTGATTCCGGCAAAGCCATACCAACTTCTTTAGCAATGAACTTTGAGTTTACGTTCCCAATTAGTGTTGTAGGGAAATCTTGCCTCTCGTAATTATGTCGATCAATTTAGTACGACGTCGTCTCTAAGCGACAGGTCCTATGGGCCTTTTAATAACCCATGTGTGTATATGGGCTTCTATATCTTGAGCCCATATATTTACTTTTTTTTTTTTTTTCTTTTTTGACTAATAGTTATCTTTCAACTAATATAAGTTGTCGCAAGTTTGCAAGTAATTATTGGACATAACGATAGATTTGATTTTGCTCTTGAGCATCCTTCAATTTCCCGGTTTCATGATGGTGATTAGCAAGTATTCAAAGTTTTAGTTGATACGTATAACGTATTCAAACTCTAGTGATTAGCAAGTATTCAAAGTTTGTGTGTAATATACATTGGACAGAGAACTGAGATTCATTTAAATGCATGTTGAGTCTATGTGACTCCATCGATACACTTGACTTATCAGAATCAAATCTCCATCTAGCTAGACTGTGCGATCGAATCTTTATTTTAATATATTTTCAGTCAGTGCATTAGCTAAAAGGCTAGATTCATTTTATTATTTTTTTACATTTTCTTATAACTCTAATTTTCTTTTCTTTTCTTAATGTTAAAACGCAAAATGATTTGATTTGTAAAAAAGCGAACACAGAATACAACAAGTTCAGGAGGGAATACATGCAATTGTTAGGTAAAATTAAAGTGGTTGTATTCAAAATGTCAAAATGTTAGTAGAAGACAAAAAGGAAGAAAAAAATACTATGAAACCATCAACTTCAGATGTGATTACATTGATGGACATTGGTCTAAAGAATCGAGTCGTTGGTTCTACTGCCTTGAATGAAAGAAGAAGTCGCTCCCACAGGTTCTTCTTCATATATGTCCTTTGGAACAAAAAAAAAAAAGGTGTTTTCAGCAGCCCTAATTGTTGTTAAACTGAATTTATATGTTTTCTTATGCAGCATTGTCATTGTTCACGTTCGCGGCATAGATTTTAAAACCGGTTATGTGCTATATGGTAAAGACGTTCGAGACTTAATGGAACAGGTAGATAGACACACACTTTCTCACCTCTCTATCTTATCTCTCTTATTAAAGATACAATGAGTCATATGTTGTTTTTATAGTTAGCGTCCCTTAAGGACACCATAGCGAGAAAAGACAAAGAGATAGAGAGACTTCATCAGGTGAAAGACATTCAGCATCATGAGACAGGAGAATGAAGTAGTCTTTGTTCCATTAAGTCTGGAATGTCTAATTGATGATGTTTCTTATTCCCTCTGCTGCTCTGCCTGTAATACAAGAATGAAAGACAATCTCCTGGTATATTTTATTTCCTATTTTTATAGTTCAGATACAAATAATTAAACTATTCAACATAAACATTGTTATCTAATGCCACTCTTAACTCTAAACCACATATTTGTAAAACTTATTCGGTATATCAAGGTTATTCTCGATCGGAATAATGTTGTCGATTTTTCATAATGTAATTGAGTTATAACAGTAAATTCAGTCCCATTTTAAATATGTTTTCTTATTAAAATTTGGGATTTCTTTTTTAAAAATTACACAACAATTGGTATCAATACATTGAGATGCTGAAAAAACTAGTTGGAGTGATTCTGATACCATTTAAAATTGCCACTCAAAAACAATTGAACAATTTTTTTGTAATAGTATAATGATATAGGTTTTAAATCGAATATTATAGTTACGAATAGAAAAATAATTCGCATCAATCTCTATGTTTTGGTTAATAAGAACTAGATCCTGACCCGCACATACGTGCGGGGTTTCATATTTTAAAAAATTTTCTAACAAATTTTAATTCAATATAGATTATTTGTTGTTTCTATGATATATATTTTAGTGTATTAGATCTGAATTCACACGTATATGCAGAGATATCTTTATATATATAAATTTTTATATAGATTTTAAAAATATAAAATATTTTGTTGTGTTAGTGAACTTCATAATAGTATAAATATTATATAGTTAGAGTAATGAACGAAATTCAGTTGCGTTAGTGCATAGTTATATTTTAAGATTCGGACCTACACGTACGTGTGAAATTATATTTAAGAAATAATTAAGATATAATTTAGTTGCAAAAGTTAAATGATGTTACGGTTTTTATTTTCTAAACTAATCAAAACATTTCTAACAGTTTGATTACATGTGTTATATAGGATATGGATTCGGTTTTAGTTTGGTTATTTCATTTCTAACAGCCGAACACATACCAATTGGATATTTAGTTTGATTTTTAATTTATGTTCTCATCTCGTCCAGTCTCGTAATTCCTATTTTTATTTCATTCCATTAAATTCATAAACCAAATTCTTGTTTGCTTACCTTTAAATACCATACAATACATACTATGAGTTTTGCAGATTAATATATATGTTGTTAAAATAACAAATATATTTTAAAATTTTTATTAATGTTTCTTTCCTTAGCTAAATTATGCATATTATTCTTTTCATTGTTTAATCATAATTAATTTGATTTTTGGACTAAAAATAAAAATTTGAGATACATCTCTAAAAGGGATATGCTATTGCTGCATAATTTGTTTTGAATACAAAATATATATTTAGTTTACATTATTCCGTGCAATATTTTAGGGATTTATTTAAGGAAGATTCGGTTGAAAAAAAAAACGCAAAATAATTTGGAAATTAATATGTACAATGTATTGTTTAGATATTTCCGAAACTTGTTCTAAACGAAGGCCATGATGATACTTATTTTAAATTTATTATTATTTGAGTTTATTTCATAGTAAATATAAATATTTGTTAATATCTAATATCGTTTTTCAGAAATTGTGAAATAAAATTTTGTTTTATATTTCAAAATTTATGAAAATATTATAACAAAACTAAATCTTTAAATTTGTATTTGATTTTCTTATGAAATTTCAAATTCAATATTAAAATCCTCCATTGATAAATCTTTTAAGGCATAGTATTTTGAATTAAAATGATACTAATTTCTTTTTTTTGATATAGAATAGTCTATTAGGATTGGTTTATATAAAATTTTAGATGGATATCAAATCTTAGTTTTTCAATTCTCATTGGTTAAAAATTTTTTAGAAATTAATTTCAAATTTTCGTCCATAATTAATAAGAGAAAGAAAATTAGTTTATTTTTTTGGAAATTAATAATTATTTTAAAGAATTTAACTATTTTGTATTTAAATATATTAATTTTGTGATTACTATTGTACCCTTAATGAAGTTATTTAAAAACACTAAAAATCAATGGCATATTTTGTAATATTTTACCCTTTATAAGGTTGTTTAATATGTAGTGATTCCCAATTAATAATATAGATATTTGGACAGTGAAAAGTCATACTTTAATTTTTCTCATATTTCGACGTGAGACATGTGAGTGGCGCAGATGGACACGTGGCAGTTGATAAGACGTTTAATTTTTCTGACGTGGAGAGAATACCGATGTGTCAAGTGGATTTCCAGCTGGCATACACTCGGATAAAGAGGTTGGATATAACTTGTAAAGTAATTTAAGACAAAAGAATTTCCTTTTTTTTTTGTCAATCAACTGAATTTCATTAAACCGGAATCGGTACAGTTACAGATGCTGGTACAATAAATGCAGAATTTAAGGCAGATTTTGCAAGTGCATCTGCACAACCGTTTTTCTCCCTAGAAACAAAAGAGAAAGAAATTTCATCGAAATCTGAAGATAGAGCAAGGATATCTTGGAGAATCCCATAGAGTTCCTTTGGGGAGGACTCTGAATTAAGAGCTTTGATCAGCAATTGCGAATCTGAAGCGAAAGAAAAGTTCCTAAAACCGAGTTCTAGGGCCTGAATTTGAGCCAAGGAGAGAGCCATGGCTTCAGCCAGGAGAGGAGACCCGACATTTGCAGCAAAAGAAGAGCCTTGGTGCGCCAGGTTGGAGAGGCGATTCGAGAAGATCCAGCCAAATCCCGCAGCATGAGAGTCCTTCCTCCAAGCCGCATCAGAGAAACAGAGAATCGTCCCTGCTCTGTTGACCGCAGCCAGAGGCTCACAGATGGTAGGAAGCGTCTGAATCTGGTTTGGTTGTGCAAGGATCCACTCACGGGCATTAATGGTGGCTTGGGAGAGGACCTCCTGAGGAGAGATCTGTTTTTTTTCGAAGATCAGCTTATTCCTGCAAATCCAAATGTTCCATAGGATCCAGGGTAGCAAAGGGGCTGGTCCGATTCCCACGGGAGGAAGGTTAACCAAATTTCGTGAGCTTTCGATCCCCATCTGTAAGCTTGAGATAAGACCAGGGATAAGCGGGGCTTTGAACGGAGCAGCTTTCCACACTTGCTGAGCGAAGGGGCAATGGAAGAAAAGGTGGAGTCCAGATTCTTCTTGTTGGCAATGAGGGCAAAGAGCATCAAGGTTAAATCCTCTAAGGCTGAGATTAGAGCCAAGAGGTAAAGCGTCTCTCAAAAGTTTCCATAAGAAAAACTTGATTTTTGGTTGACATTTGATATTCCAGAGATCTTTGAACCAGTTGAAACCTGAAAAGGAGTCTTGTTGACTAGGGCCAAGCGATGCCTCAATAGTGGCTGCAATATAACCCGATTTTGCAGAATAAGCTCCATTCTTGGTAAGAAGCCAGATGTGTCGATCCTCAGCATCTGTTTTGCTTGGTTTAATTGCTAAAATCTCATCTTCGTAGGCTGGGAGCAAGAGTCTTATTTTCTCTCTATTCCAGGTCTTTGAAATTGGGCAGATAAGATGATCAACAGTCAAGGAGAGACTTTGTTCAGTTGGGGGTCCCATGGGATGGGTTGGTTTAACCAAAGAGATCCATGGTTCATACCATAGTAGCGTGTTCTTTCCCGACCCAATGGCCTTTCCCAGATGAGACTTCAGTAGATCCCGGCCAATACAAATGCCTCTCCACCCATGGGAAGCCGTAGAGGAAACCTCACAGTCCAAGAAAGAAGACGATTTGCAGTATTTCCCAAGAAGGACTTTTGCTAATAAGCAGGAGGGTTTGGAAAGGATGCGCCAACTGATCTTGGCCAAGAGTGCATCATTGAAACAAGGTATGTCTCTGAATCCTAAACCTCCATCACACTTAGCTTTTGCTAGTTTATTCCAAGATACCCAGCACATCTTCTTATTTTCAACAGAAGCATCCCACCAGAATCGTGTTAGAGCAGATTGAATACGTTTACAAAGGGATCCTGGAAGCTTGAAGCAAGACATAGTATAGGTTGGCATTGCAGCTAACACAGACTTGAGTAAAGTGGCTTTACCCGCAGTGGATAGAAATCTTGAGGACCAGCTCAGAGCGCGTTGTCTGATTCTATCAATAATAAGGTTGAACATATCTTTCTTTTTCCTGCCAAAGAATTCAGGAAGTCCAAGATATTTACCTAGACCACCAACTTGTTGCATCCCTAGAGTTTGGTGGGCTATTTCCCTTAAGGAAACAGGTGTCTTGGCTGAAAAGGTAATTGAGGATTTTGTCTTATTGATTAATTGGCCAGAAGCTAACTCATACCTTTTAATGATTTTCAGGAGTGTTTTGCAGCTGTTTTCATCAGATCGGCAGAAAAACATGGTGTCATCTGCAAAGAGGAGATGGTTCACCCTTGGACTTCCTAGAGAGACCCGGATTCCAGGCAAGGTACCATCTTCCTGAGCTTTACCACACAGACCAGAAAGGACTTCGCTGCAGAGGATGAAAAGGTAAGGTGACAAGGGATCTCCCTGTCTTATCCCTCTAGTTGGGGTGACACTTCCTTGGGCTGAATCATTAATTAGGAAAGAATAGGATACAGTTGAAATACACTTCATGATCCAGTGAGTCCATTTTGGATGGAAACCCATTCTCTCAACTACTGCCTTGATGAAACCCCATTCCAGCCTATCATAGGCTTTACTCATGTCAGTTTTGACAGCCATATAGCACTTCATTTGAGCTTTTGATGTCTTTAGATAGTGCAGGACTTCATGTGTAATGAGTACATTGTCGGTGATAGCTCTTTTAGGCACAAAAGCTGATTGATTTTCAGAGATGACATTTTGCAGAACAGGTTGTAGTCTCTTTGCCAGGAGCTTTGAGATGATCTTATAGAAGACAGAACAAAGGGCTATAGGTCTCTAGTCCACCATTCTTTGGGGGCTTGGAATCTTTGGTATCAGTCTGATATGGGTTGCATTTATGTTGTTTGGCAGATGGTCATTCAAGAAGAAAGATTGGACTTCAAAGACTACTTGGGGTCCCACAGTGCCCCAGTTGGATTGGAAGAAGCAGGCTGAGAAGCCATCTGGCCCAGGTGCTTTGTCAGCATGGATGGCAAAGCATGCATTTTTAATTTCCTCTTCAGAGGGGATTTTGATCAGATTTTGGTTTATTGCAGGAGAGATGCACGGGTGGATTGAATCGTGAACTAATGAGAAGTTTTCATTCTCTTGGGAGGTAAAGAGATCCTGAAAATAGTTTGTGATTACTTTCAAAATTCCTTTCTCTTCAAACTGTGGGATGCCTTCACTGTCTTCAATAACAGAAAATCTATTAATTACAGATCTTCCTCGAGAGATAGCATGGAAGTATCCAGAGTTTCTGTCACCCAATGCAAGCCAAAGGAGCCGGCTTCTCTGTTTCCAGAAATCTTCCTCAGCTTTATAGGCAAGAAGTAGGTTATGGTTGATTGTGGAGATAAGAGATGGATCAGGATCCTGTCCAGCCATAGCTTCCTCAAGTTTTTGTCTATTCTCCTCAATAAGCTTTTGGCTATTCTGATGCTTTAATCTTGTCCAGACAATGATCGCACGTCGACATCTTCCAGCTTTTTCTGTAACTGATTCCTCAGCATCCAGCTCCCAAGCTTCTTTGATCAGGTTTCTGACTTCTTCATTATCCTTTAACCGTCTGTCAAATCTGAAAATTCCCTTCAGCTTCTTTTTTGTATGATCCAGGACAGACAGGAGAGGCCTATGATCTGAGCCCTCAAATCTCAGATATTCACTGCGACTAAGAGGATAAGCTTCTGACCAGGCCCCATTAGCCATAGCTCTATCCAGCCTACAGTGTACCATATGATCGTGTCGCTTACCACGCCAGGAGAAGAAATTTCCAGAGTGTTTTAGATCAAACAAATCACATTTTGCCATGAAGGATCGAATATCAACAAAGGATCCTTCCTGCCTTGCAGGACCTCCTTGCTTCTCAGAAGAGTCAATGATATCGTTAAAGTCACCAGTTAAGAACCAGGGGTCCTCTCTACTCTCTCCTTTAGCTGTGAGTTGCTCCCAAATAGCTTTTCTCTTTGCTCTATCTGGTTCCCCATATAGAAAGGTAGCAAAGAAAGATTTGCCTGCAAACTTGATTTGAGTGTCTATAAAGTTCTGGCAGGATGAGAGGATAGAGACTTCCACATCTTGTTTCCAATAGAGAGCCAACCCACCACCACCAGGACTGTGGGGGGAACAAGGAAATGAGAGGTATAGGGCATCCAGGAAAGGGATTTTTCAACAGTTTCATCAGGATTTTTGGTTTCCATTAGGAAGAGAAGTTCTGGTGAGATATTAGAGTTTATCTCACGCAGTCGCCGGCCTGTTGTAGGGTTCCCCAGCCCACAACAGTTCCAGCTTATGAGCTTTAAGGAAGAGAATTTGGTGGATCTTGAAAATCCACCTTCTTTTTTACCACAGCAGGTATAATGTTTACTTTTGGCCCCGTATTAGTAACTAGAGACTTTGAAGGATTTTTCCTAGGATTTCTGCTGGTTCCTGCATCTGAGTTCAGATTCTTCTCTGGTGTAGGCTTTCGTTTAGGTGAGCTTTGGACTGTGCATCTATTTCTTTTACTGGATTTTGCACCTGTGAGATTCAGGGGTCCTTTTGGTTGAGATTTATTAAGGGGAGGTCTCCCTCTTTTCTTTTTTGCAGGAGCAGCAGAGGGTGGAGAGAAACCCGGTGGGATACTAAGAGACTCATGAGTCTCCTCCAAGGTAACATTAAGAGACTGCTTTCTAAGCTCCAGAGCAGACTGGTTTGCTCTTGTTGCAGCCTCTATCATTTGAGAGGCAGTTTCTGCCATCAGGTTCTGGGCTTCACCTTGTAGTACTCTTCTTTTCCTTGCAGCACTCTCCGTTGGATCTGCACAATTTGTGTATTGCAGAGTTACTTCTCTCAGCTCACCCATAACTTCGTCAGTTGTTGGGATGGGAGGAGGTGTAGGCGGTGCAACTTCCTCAAAGGTTCTTTCCAGAGGTGGCCTTCTAGTTCTGGATGAATCAGAGATCTCACGATATTGACCAGAGGGAGAAGGGGTTTTTTCTCTCCATTGTTGATTTTGCCGAGGTCTTTGTTGCTCATATCCTCTCCGGGAAGTCTTGTAATTAGAGTGATCTCTACTAAATTCTCCTCTGGAGCTGTGTGAAAGGCGAATAGGATCATCTCTATGTTTACTTTGGACTTGAGAAAAGGTTCTAGTCTCAGAGTGAGAGGAGGAGCGAGAAGCTGCAGGGAGATGTCTATTTTTGATATGATAAGAGTCTTTGTGGGGAGGGTAGTTCCTCTCAGATCTCTGTGAGAGATTACTGGGTGCTCTGAAGTTATCACGCGGAGTATAATAGTTTCTGGAGGTGACTTTTGAAGCATGTTGGGGGGAAACAGGTACTAGAGATTTATCTTTTGTTATCTCCTTTGAAGACCGGAGACCTGGGCAAGATTTTGTCTCATGAGTTAATCTTTGGCAGTGTAGACAGTGGCTTTTCAGACTCTTATACTCCAGAGAGATAAGGGCTTCAGACCCATCAGGGAAATCCACCACACATTCCTTCAAGAGGGGTTGGAGGCCATCAAGGAGTACTCTTAGCTTAATAGCAGCAGAGGTAATTTCTAGATCCATAATCTCACCAAGGTTTTCTCCAATGGAGTGGAGCATTTCAGGTTGCCAGTAGTGTTTTGGGAGGCCTTGAATGTCAATCCAGAAGGGAATTGAAGATGGGAAATTATCAGAGATAATCGGTTCCCACTTTTGCAGAATAATCATCCACTGATCAAAGTGGTAAGGCCTATTATCAAGAACCTTTTGCATGTCTTCAGCAAAGTCAAACTTGAACTGGAAGCAGCCTCTTCCTAGATCTGATCCCAGAGCCTTTCCCCTGAGGTTCCAACGATTTGAGAGGAAAGGGAATAGAGCCCACAGTCGTTGGCAAGAGGGATTAGTAAGGCGTCCTATGAGGGTTAGGGAGTTTGCTTCAATAAGCTCAGTCGTATCAAGAGGAGGGGCTTGGATTCTCTTGCGAGGTGGAGGAGAGTAACCACTGGCTAATCCTTTTCCCTTGAGATGATGAGGGATTCTGGACGTCATAGTTCTTTGGGAGATGTTGAGCAGGAGTGGTAACAGATGGGTTTGCAGGGATATAAGTAAGATAGCAGGGCTTTTGTGACAGAGTATAAGGCTTAACAGGGTTAACAAGGTTTACAGCAGATGCAAGAGTGTGATTAAGGGATTAGAGCGTTATACCAGTGATGAGGAGGGATTCAAAGGCTTAGATGAGCTTGAGGGCAGCGGAGCAAGGAGGAGCAAAGGAGGTTCTTGGAGAAAAGTTCAGCGGGTAACACCAGAAACCAACAGAT